TACCACCACCACCACCGCTACCACCACCACCACCGCTACCACTACCACTACTGCTACCACTACCACCACCGCTACCACTACCACCACCGCTACCACTACCACTAAAACGTCCATTCATAATGAAGGTACTACTATACATTTTCAGTGGTGATAGCGGAACCCCAAGAGCGGGAGGTAGAACTAAGTTCTTGTCGAATGTAGTCGTTGAAAGCAGTGGCCAGAACACCTGGAGTGGACCAGCTAGTTTCACAGCCAGCTGCAAACTTGCTTTAAAAGCTTGGCCGTTTGATAAGCAGACTTGTGACCTCATGTTTGGTTCTTATTCCTATGACAGTCAACTACTGAAGGTCTCTAGTTTTAAAACCAAAGGTCACAGAAGCGGTGAGTGAGTTTAGCTGTGTTGTTGATACCAGCCTCGTAAATCGCGCTACTACGAACAATGGAAGGAAGGAAAGAAGGTGAAAAGGAAGTAAGGAGAAATGGAAGAAAGGAGAAAAGGAAGGAAAGAAGGAAGGAAGGAAAGAAGGAAAGAAGGAAGGAAAGAGGGAAAGGACGTCGAGGAATGGAGAAAGATAAAAGGAGGAAAGTAATATGAAAAACAAGTCAAGAAAGATAAAGCAAAAATTGGTGAGCCAATGATCTACTATTATATTTTTCATGATTGCAAAACGTTTTTTCAGGTACCTACCTACAGAACGCAAATTGGAACGTAGATTCTAAAGTGTCCGTAAGAACAGAGGAGTCCGACTTCGGCAACTGCTGCCCATTCAAATTCAGTCAAATCACGTTCACTCTAAAACTGGAAAGGCGCGTTGAGTACTGCCTTTTCTACCTTCTTGGTCCTTGCCTTGTTCTTTCCCTCCTGACTTTGATCAGCTTCTGGATCCCGTCAGACAGTGGGGAGAGGATAGGCTTTGTCACTACACTCCTGCTAGGCATGATGGTATTTCTGCTGGTGGTCCCCCAATCACTTCCACAATCCTCAGAGACCATTCCTGTGCTGGGCATTGTGATGATGGGAACTATGGTCATGATCACCTTTGTACTCTTCGCTACTATTCTCGTGCTGAGGGTTTTTCACTCTATAGGAATACCACCAAAGTACTTGCGACGCATCTTTAAGCGCTCGCGTCGCTTAGAACCAGAGCTTATCCAAGTTTCCGAAGTACTTGATCGTAAAAGTGAAATTCCTCCAAATGCCATGCAACTAGAAGACAAATCTACTGATACAGCTTCCATGACCCGGTTCGCTGCCAAAGAAGAGGCGACATGGCAAATGCTGGCAAGCAAGCTGGATAAGATGTTCTTCTGGGTTTTTCTCGTAGTGACAATCATGATATATTCCGTGCTGCTTATCGGGGAGTAAAAGCGGAATCATAGAGAAATAGGAATAATGATTCAGAACCACTGCTTGCAAGTGAAAAGGATTCATGAATCTTTGTGTTGGAAATTTAAGAATCATGATTTTTTTTTTTTTTTTTTTGGGGTGAATTTTCGTTTTTAAAGCTGTCAATGCTTACATATGATGATTCACAATACATTACAAGCTTGTTATGCGACATGCCACATCACGGCCATGCAACAAAAGCCTTCACCAACCTTTTTTGAAATAGTTGTATACTCTCACCAATTCTTGAGCACTTACCTCATTATGAAGTCATCACCACGGCACGGATTGGATGACGTTATAAATGGACCCATTTTAGTGTGGATCCTTCACAGAGCACTGAAAGAAGCAGAGGAACCCAAACTCAAACGAAGTATTTGAGTCTATCGAAAAAAATCTCAGTGGCGCAGCTCAACGGGGTCGAAGTGAAAGCATGTGAAGGCGCCTCTGGGGCAGCCGTTATACAGTCCATGTATGACCCAAGAGCACAGCTGTAACCAGTTTGAATTAGTTAGGGTTGATTTGAGAGGAGGGAGGAAAAACTGGAGGACCGTAAACCCAAGGCACTTCCAGAGTGAATCTGAGAGCTTTAGGTTTAAGAATATCTGAATTGCAAACCCGCTCATGCCCGACTAAAGAATGAAATTTAAAAGCAATACTCAAATATTACCCGAATAAATAAAATACAATAACTTCGTTTAGTATTTTTACACAAGTGAATATATTGATAAATCCGGCGCACTCATTAGTCACAATTTACGTCTTATGCTGTTATATTCACCTACAGGTGAATACAATGCGCACGCGCACGTGCACGCTCGTTAATTGTCGATTTGTGCTGCTTCAAAAGATAAATCGAACAAACAAACCCTCTTCTCCGTTATTTATCAAATTGTGTTAAAAATAATCCCAGATATTCACTTTGCTTTCGCAGAATAATTGTTAAATTCCTGGGATTCGAAAACTAACTTTCAGAACACAATATATAACACATAAATAAGCAATCGAAAATCCTACTATTAGCGTTCACGCACACACACAAAAAAAAACAACTAGGATTAGAGTTAATAATAGAGGTGTCGGGAATACAGGTCTTGACGTAGTAACTATTTAAAGGTGTAATAAACTCATTATGTATGGTAAAATATTCTAAATATTCGACCGTTTCAAAACCATTCAAGTGTGTGTAACTTGGGATTCACTGGTTATTGGATGTACTAGCTTTGCTCGCCTCTATGGAAGACAAATTAAACTCCAAAACTCTTGGAAACTTTGTTCTCCTTATAGTCATTTTACAGGGTAGGTCTTATTTTATCTGTAGCTTAACGGCTCCGTTTATCGGACAGAGTCCAGCCAGAATTGGGACTTGTCCGGTCGAATATCATTTTGAGCAGTAACGTTGCCCCAGAAACAATGATCGATGTAAAACTGATTTGGCCGGTCATATCTATCTAACCTTTATTTTTTTTTTCGATCAGAGGCTGTTAAATACTGGATGAAATATAGAATTCGTGTGAGCGGTGCTACGATTACATTAATAAATTGTGCTAGCTTACGAATCCGGTAGATAATCAATCAAGACCGAGTATTTTCTTAAAAATTTTGTGCAATTTTTCCGGGAAGATTACTTCAGATGTCATTACATGATCTGGCAAAACATCATTCAAGCTAATGACTGAGTTTACGAACTATTTCAGTATTTACAGCTGTACTTTAAGATATAAGAACGATTAATTAAATATCTCTTTGTAATTCAAAAAGAGCTTGCTAGTTTGTTTACACCATTTCATTATGTTTTTCACCTTGATGCGTATTAATTTTGCAGTGTTATTATTCGTACACAAACAAACAAACAAACAGACAAAAAATAGGTCATTTTTTGTGAACTTTCTAAAAAGTGTTTTCTAGTTGGGTAATTTTGATCCCTGTTTGAATTGTATATATGTATAAATGTTATCTCATCATGCGTATAACATAATCTTAATATCATATGATAATAAACATTTACATACGAATTACGACAACAAAAAATGCTAGGAAAGACATGAATAATCTACTAGTATAAGTTAAGATGATTTTCAAGTTTTGAAGCTTATTCAGGGAAATAAGATGTGAAGTAATTTTTTGAAATATTTTCAAATAAATGGTTTCAAAAGATACTCAGATTTTTAGTCTATTATTCAGTAATGTTAGCTTATTACACATTCAAGTTCAGTATATTGATCACTGTTGTTAGGCAAGTCATGGAGATAATAATTTTAACCATTGCAATATAATAATAGGGCATGCAAGTTGATTAAGTAAGCGAAAGGTGTTTTCATTAGATTATTACATCTTGACTTTTCAAAAAAACCAACAACAACAAAAAAGTTAGCCTGTGTCACAACCGGAATTTTCTTCGTATTTCCGAAGAAAATTCCGGATGTGACGCAGGCTATAAAAAAGTTAGATGTAAAAATTATAGCCGACATCAATAGACATTAGCAGTTGTAAGAATAGGGTGCACTTTTTATGCTCAGGGAGTTCGCAATCCCTGTAACCCTTTCCCTGGAAACCAGAAAAGAAAAAAGAAAGGAAGGAAGGAAGGAAGGAAGGAAGGAAGGAAGGGAGGGAGGGAGGGAGGGAGGAAGGAAGGAAGGAAGGAGGGAAGGAAGAAAGAAAAAAAGAAAGAAACAATATTGGTAGAATGTACGTAAGAATGAATAAAAAACAGGAGTTTTTTCCCATCCGCATAACATTATGTTCGCCTCTTCAAAAACGTGGCCAAGTTAACTCTGTTCTCAATAAATTTTTTCATCAGTGTTGCTGCACATCGCATCTGGAAGATCGAATACCTCAGCCGAACACTCGATTAGGAAGCTACTGTTAGACGATTACGACCAGGCTGTACTGCCGATAAGGGGCGGTTCTCCTGTTGATGTAGAATTTGGACTAAAGCTCAATGCACTTCAAAAAGTGGTAAGATTTTCTCTTAAGTTACCAAATTTCTGTACAAGAAAGTAACTAACTTAGGCTCAGGTTAAACATCGAACTTCACATGAGCCGAACTTAATTCTTCAAAATAAGCTCATGTGAAGTTCGGCGTTTGACCCAATTAAGTTCGACCGATTGAATTTGATCCGACTAAGGCGACCTTCACGACTAGATCAGTCTGGGAGAACGACTGTAGATCGACCTGGGGTGAAACGTCGAACCTCACATGAGCCAATCTAAATACATAAGTCATGTTAAAGTATGTTTTGCATTCATTTCAATCATTCTTTGCCACCACGCATGCGCCGTTAGCAATTTTTTCAAAATGGCTGCTGCAGTTGAATGCTGCATAGGGCATAACACACACACACACACACACAAACAGCCGAGTTTGTGATGCCTTTTTTCTTATTTGCAGGACAGTAAAGAACAACTTATCTCAGTCGATACATGGGTCGTCATGGTAGGACTAAAAATGACGACATAGTGGTGGCAAAAATGACATCATAATGTTTGCAAATATGACGTCATTTTTGCTACCACTATGACTTCAAAATGAGTGACACCAAGGCGTTACGTTATGATATTTCTGACGTCATAACACCAATAGTGATGTCAATCAATATGTGTGTTAAAAATGATGATTAAAAACTTGACTTTAACTGACGTCATATAGTGGTAGAACTGAAAAATGTAAAAAGTGACAACAATATGGTTTAAACGATTGAAAATGCTTATTTATGCTTCATTTTATTTTTTTTATTTTTTTATTTTATTTATTTATTTATTTTTTATTTTTTTAGAAATGGAATAACACTTTCTTATACTGGGACAAAAGCAAGTACGGTGGAAAAGATCGAGTTAACTTTCTACCCACCGAAGTATGGTTTCCAGACATCGCCCTTCATAACAAGTAAGAAAGCCAAAAATAGAGTAGTTCCTATATGAATCTCATAAATAGACCATATTCGAATTCATACAATACCGCTGTGGTTCTTGATTACGGACTCTTTTACTCAGGCTTAACCTCATATCAGTGTCAAAATATTCACAAATACCAACGGTAAAGTAAAGAATACACACTTCAACCATAAAAACACCTTTCAACGGACCATCACTGGAATGAATTAGGAGAGAATTCTTTTCGTATTCGAGCAGTGAGCGCCAAAAACTATTTTCTTGAAGAAAGCCGGTTGTACAAGGCTAAAATCTTGTTATTCAAAAAGTTTAACTTGATTGGAAGTGGAGATGACCGATGAAAGTGGAATCAAAGTCTTTGTACGATTGAAAATACCGCTTCAAACAGGCATCTTATCATAGTACATCAGTTTCTAACTGTTTAAAAAAGGTTTTGAGTGTTAACCAAAAACGAAAATTGGGATCAAAACTCATACGAAAGTCTAGTTTTTGGCGCTTTTTGCCATTATTGCAAATTATTGAAAAAATATTCTACTCAAAATCAAGGCTGACCCTAAGCAACAGAGAACTTAAGACTGAAGTATTCCTAAAGAGTTACGGAGTCCTACACAGTACAAAAGATAGAAAAGGAAAAAGCGTACTTAAGGAAAAATKAATGAGTAAATGAATCTATGAATGCATAAAGAAAAGAGAGAAAGAAGAGGAAAAGAAACGAATGGAAAGAAAGGGAGAAAGAATTGAAAGAGAGAGAAAGTTAAAACTATCACATACAAGCAGGCTACTTGAGTCACATAAAGTAGTTAGTGGGTATGAAGTACTTCTTTTAGAGGAGACGGTGTTAATTATATTCCTTTCTTAAAATTGCTCGTATTTTTTACAGCTTCACAAAGTATTGAAAACATTCTCAAAAATCATTACGTTTAATATCAGAATGAATCTTATTGGCGGAAAGTCCACGATAATTTTAAGGGGGGTGACTGTTACTGTCAAAGCCACTCAATTCACCCCTCTGGCCGTCCATGAATCTTATGACCTTTGGTGTTTACCATTTGTTTTTCAGCGGTGACAATCTTACCCCGAGGGCGGGAGGTACGAGCAAGTTTTTGTCCAACGTTGCTGTTGATAGCGATGGTTTGAATGTCTGGAGTGGCCCAGCCAGTTTTACAGCGAGCTGTGAATTGAAATTAGATTATTGGCCTTTTGATACGCAAAAGTGTGCATTCAGATTTGGATCTTTCTCCTATCATAAGCAACAATTGACAATCAGCCCTTTTGCAACCAAGAGCACTTTAGGAGGTACAGATAATTGATTCTCTTTAGCTTATTATCTTATTATTATCTTCTATACTGTCTGCTCGCCTAAAATACATCTTTAGCCCATTACTGCAAGCCACGGCTTTGCTTATTGGAGTTTCTTTTCCCTGCCTGTCTGCCCGTCTGCCCGTCTGCCCGTCTGCCCGTCTGCCCGTCTGCCCGTCTG